ATCGAAGTCAAATTAAAATACTAAAAGATCTCTCTGTGTGTGTGCATACATATAAAATGTATTTGCATCCAATTACCTATATCAATTATGCCAAATTTTCCAATCAAACATAAACATGTATCTTATATTTGAAATATTAATATTTAATAGCATTTAATTACAAATTCACCGAAACGAAAAAAGATATATGGTCATGTGTAATCAGAAAACTTGACATACTGAATATAAAGAATTTGACCTAAGTTTTTTTCATATATTTAACTGTTATATATGGTTCAAGAATATTTTTGTTAGTTGAAAGAATTAAAAAAATATAACCTAAATCCTTTCTATTTAAATCCTTAAAAAGGGAACAAATATGCGAAATTTAAGGGGTGATAATAACCGAAAAAGACGTCATAAAAAAAAAACTGAAAAAGAATGTTTTCATTGAGTTTTCTCTCCACTTCCCTCCATTTAGTATCTCTATTATTGGATTAACATCAAACGGTTGAGATTTAATATAATATTGTTATATTAAATAATAATATATATAAATACCTTTAACTTATATTTAAATAAGTACTATGATATTATTATAACCACTTCGGCCCCCGGGGGGGAACACGAGCCTAATTTTTCAGTTTGGCCCAAAAGAAAAATCTAATATTTCAAAATTCATAGGACATAAGTAATAGAACTGCAACTACCTTTAATTTATAAAATAATTTGTTAGTATGGTGATTAAAACTTTTGCATTCTACATTGTGCTTTAAAAAAAAAAAACTTGTAAATTGTAACCCTAACCCAACGCTAAGTCAAAGTATTCTTTGAGACCCCCTTGGCTTATAAAACGGAAAAACATAAAAATAAGGAAATGGAAAAAAATCATTTTCCGATCTTACAAGTTATGGGAGTTTGATTACTCATGATCTCAAAGAAAAAAAATTAATAAAAGAATAATTATCATTTAATAATATCCACGCAAGTGAATTTTAATAAACCCTCTACGCATATCACGAAAAAGGATAAATACCACTCAATGTTATTCATATATGTTTATCGGTGATTACATTTAGGATTGGAAAAAAAAAAAAAGAAGACGAAGAAACCAAAAAAAAAAAAAACCATAAACAAAGATCTATGAATCTAATAGCAACAGTATAATATCCAACATAAATTTCTGATACTGAGAGTTATTATTTCTGAGGTATAAGGATATATTTTCGAACATTTGGCTGAGTGATGGAAATGGTCCTCAAATCTCTTGCATTGTTGAGAATAAACATCGCAACCTTAAACTCACTTTCTTTTCCCTTGAAATCCACCAGGAATTTCTTCAATGTGCCCAGAAATGATGGAACATTTGGTCTGAGCAAATTTCCAAGAAGTCTGTAGTCTGTGAACTCAAGATCATGCACAACAATATGTTTAAGTAACAGTTCTTCAACATTGGCACATCCAGAAAAGAGCTTTACAACACATTTATAATCTTCAAACATAACGCGTTCCAAATGCAAGACTTTAAGGGAAGGAAAATTAACCAAGAGAGGAGTATCTATACGTACCCCATGCAATTTCAAAACCCTAATGGGACTGCAGACAAATGTTAGAAGGAACACTAATTTGAAACAAGTATGGAACACTTAGCTCTATTTGCTCAACTTTGCAGTTTATAGCTGCTTTAAACCAACCATCGATCTTACGATCGTCTAGATAGTAATAATCAACACAATTGAGACGAAGTAGCTTGATGGTTGTGGAATCATTATTGGAGATGAGAACTTTGTCTACAAAACGTTCGAAGGATCCAAAACGACAATGACAAAAGGATTTGGCGTCGAGGTCAAGAGTGGGCAATCCAATCCAAAGTGAAATCCATCTCTTAGATAAGATGCTTGTGGAAATGGCTTCTTTAGTATTAAGAAGAGAGAGGATATGTTGAAGCAATGAGTCTGGTACGTTGCTAATTCTATCTCTTGATGCTGCTTGGGATTTTGATTTTGCCATAACTTGGCTCTACTTTGGGAATCAAGTATGAGAAATGAAGGTTTTAGTTGAAATCAAAGGTTTAGGGAAGTAATTAATGAGTCTGGTAAATACCTTCTAGGTTAATTCTGTTTGAGCTGAGCTTTCGTTGTATACCAAAATTGTAAAATACTTAATAAAGGGAACCTAATCCGAATTCAGTGCTCATTGTGATATCCAAATCTAATTTCATTAGATGCTTAATAATAATTTCGTTTTCGTCAAAAACATAAGAATAAAGTATTTCATGCCGAAAGATATATAAGAATGAAGGAATTAAATAACATTTGTATCATCACTTTTAACATGGGCGGCTATATGAGAGATGAGCAACCCATGAATCCGGATATGTTCAAGGCAATCACTGTTTTTCGAAAAACCAAAAAAGACTTAAAATTTGTTTCGTATAATATGTTTTGTTTAAATTGAGTCTTTATTATTTGATATTTTCATTTTAATTGATAAATTTTATGAAATTTTATTTATAGAAATACAATGGTGTTAAAACAACGTGAAAATGAAGGAGAGTCCGTAAAATTCATGAAAGTATACAAATTAAAATCAACAATTTGTATACACAAGGATAAATGCCTGCAACAGATCAAACTATGATGACTTCCTTGAAACAAAATAAATTACAGGGACCTAATTTTGAAATAAGCTATAAGAATTGACAGATTAATTTTTCTTTAAAAATTATTAAAGATATATACTACCTTCACTCTTTAATATAAGACTTAGTTGACTAATTTGAAAAAATTAAGAAAATTAATTTAGTTATTTATAATAATAAATAGGTGTTGTCTTTTCTAGAATACCCTTACTAATCATGTGTATTAGCTAAAACTATCATTTGATAAAACTTTTAATGTGTACAACTACTATAAGGACTACTTTTAAAAAATAAATAAATATAAGAAATAAAGTGTATTAAGATCGGACCAAATCAATATCAAACTAGCTCTTCTATTAAGTAGTAAAGGTAATATATTCTTAAAGCTATGATTAAATTGGACATTTAAAAAGTAGAATTCAAATCAATTCGGTTTACCCAAATCTTGGAACTTTGATATTCAATGCAAATTCTATAATTAAATAATTAATTACCGCTCATTGTGGACGGTATCTTTTTGTTAACATCCTTCTTGATATGCGATGAATTCGTAAATAAAACGGATTCAGTCATTGTTTATTTAGTTAGAAGTTTTGACTAAGAAAGATAAATTTTCGATCGACTTAATCCACTACAAATCATTGTGGAAAATTGATTTTCGCAACTAAATAACAAATTTGCAAAAGAATTAACAAATTTAGACCAAAATTAACAGAGCCAAAATAATTATAGTTTAGAGATATAGGAAATCGCGATCAAATGTTATATCTTAAATTGGAATAACTCGATGGTACAGGTATCTTTTAAAATCCGTCACGATATTTAGGAAAACTAACGTTTTAGTTGAACTTCGACCTACTACTATCAAAAACAGTTTTTCACAAGAGTTGTAAGGTGATGGACATATTTGAAGATTTGTTAACGAGTCCTACACTAGCAAGAGATTGAGCTTTGGAAGAACTGCTATATATGCATTCGGAAGCTTAAAATTGGGTTTTATTAATTATAACAAGAGATTGAACAATTAATAAAATTAAACACTTCTTCTTAACTTGAGGAAGCTTTTGTAAGTACTCTTTAAATCCTAGACTAACATATATTTTCATTAAGAAATCTATGAGAGGAGATAAATTAAAAGTTATGAAATACCCGGGAAGAATAATCCTATGTCCATTTTATACCTTGAAGTTTAAGAATAAATTATTTTCATCACTTTCTAGTTTTTAAATATTAGTTTTTAAAATTCACTCTACCCGCCAAAAGTTTGTTTGGGTCAACTTAATTAAATTCACTTCTCTTTAATTTGGTCTTTATTTTTACATAAATCTCTGTGACACATCACCGTGTTACTTGTCACGACTAGTATACTTGTGGTGCGAACATATACAGCAAATTCTTTGCTATTATACAAACATATAAGTTTTTATAGAGTGATAACATTTTGTAACAGAGAACAAGTTTGAGATTTGTGCCTCATAGGAGGTGTCTAAGTATAAGAAGAATGGTCTTCCACTATTGTCGGAAAGGATACACACACACACACTTTAGCCTATATATATATATGGGTGGTTGTAATAGGATGTTGTTAAAGGAAAGAAAAAGCGTAATTCTGGTGATAATCTCTCGAGCATTTCATTATTTAATTTGTTGGCAACACCAGTAAAGAACAATAAACAAACAATTAAGGTGGTTGTCATGCTCAAGGACATTGTTTTCAAGATATACTCCGCAACCTCTCAATAAATTAGGAAGCGGCATTCTTTAGGATTAAACAAACTCTTTCTGTAGGGATAGTAGAATAACAAAAGGTAAAAGAATTCAGCAAGAGAAAGAAGGTTTTAACGAAGAAGGAGAAAGGAGAGGGCTTGAAGACTTGGGTAAGAATAGACGGACACCCTATTTTATAAAATGTAGAAATATCGTACATGAAGACTCTTGGAGGACAACTTAGTCAAAAGTTAGGGTAGTTATTCAGCTTCTTCTTTAATCTAAAGAAGCATTATTGTAAACTCCTTTAATATAATTTGGCCACGTCAATAAACCTGGTTTATCATTATCTTCTACAAAATGCCTTATATATAAAACATAAGTTCCCAAAACTCTTTAGACTTCAAGCGATTTATATATAAATACTGAGCAAAAGTGCAAAGCTAATAGTATAGGAGTTATCGATCTGCATAAAATTAAAGTTATTTATCGTAAAATTTCAAAAAATATAAAAGTTATTTTCACTTGACGCATGTCCGAAGGTTCATGTAACCTAGCCTATATAATGAATTAATACTTGAATTTGCTCAAAATAAACCGAACATGCATGTGGATACCATCCAAAAAGGAATAGGGATGTGACTTTTACAATACCACACTAAATCTTAAGAATTCACTTGAATAAAAGCCTGCAATTCTCCGAGCTTTTTGGACAAGACGATAATCTTTGGAGCATTATTTCTTGTTCTGAAGTTGCTTTTGACGTATTTTCTCTGCGAATTGAGATGGTCTCCAAGACCCTTGCATTCCCCATAATAAATCTTGCCAGTTTGAACTCAATTTCGCGGCCTTTGAAGTTTCCAAGATGGAATTCCTTTAAGTGTGATGAAACGCATTGAGGAACACCTGGTTGCCGCCACACTCTCCAATCAAACTGAGCCATCGAGGTACCAAAGTTAGAAAACTAACCAACCAAAAATGGCAATGCACACCCGAAATTAAGTTTGAAAACAACAAGTAAATTAAACCTTATCAATTATAAGAGTTTCAAGCTTGGGACAGTTTCGCAAGCATTGCAATATTGTTCCGTCCGAGCTATATGCATAATAACTTATCTCCAGGTGGATTAAATTATAAAATACTATAGCATCAGGGAGAGGTGAAAAACCAATCTGCAAGAGGGAGACAGCAACAAGGTATAAGAGAAAAATTAATTGTCAAATCTAAGAATATTGAAAAGCACTAATATGAATTTACCGTATCTATCCGCAGTGCTTTAACATTCGACAAAGATTCCAAAGTAAATAAATAGAAAGAAACATCAGCTGAAATCAAATTTTTAAGCCTTTCTTTATTAATTGAAAGGCGCTTATACTTTATGCCCCAAATTTTTAGTGCCAAGTCTTGAAGCAAAGGGCAGCCATAAAGAAGAGCTTGGATGGATTTGATATTTGGAAATCGAACCCTGTTCAAATGCAAAACTTTAAGGGAAGGCAAATCAACATAAGGAATCTTTACTGGAACCCCACTTAGCTTCAAAACCGTTATGGTATGGCAGTTGAAAATGCAAGAGGGCACCTCAAAACTGAACTTGTCAAAAGTTTTGTCATAAATCTCAACATGTTCAACTTTGGAATTTACTGCTGCGTTAATCCATGTATTGATCTTAATTTGTGGCACGCTTTTAAGTTTAGGCCTGAGAAGAAGATGAATCCATTTTTTAACACTCGGCGCACTTCTATGTGTAGATGTGAGACTGAGATGAAGCTTTTTGAGGGTTTTCGAATGATCTCTTATTCTCATGACTGTATCTGCGTACTGAAGAAAGGAGTGAAGGCTATAAAAGTTGGAGTTGTCAAAGTCAAGAATGGGAAGTGACGAGAGAAGATGTCTCCACCTCTTGGACAAGAGGCATATGGTAATGGCTTGTTTGGTTGGAAGAAAAGACAGAATATGTTCAAACACTGAGTCAGGCAATTCACTGAGTTGATCACTTGCCTTTGCTTCCAATCTACCATGACTGACCCTGTGCTCTAAGGAAAGAAGAATGGAAAAGAAGATTAGATTAGGGTGACAAGATCATAAAATAACATATATACGTACGTAGGTAAAACTTAGAGCAAGTTATTTATATCCATTAAATCAAATTTTTTGATCAGCAATCACATTTGTTATATTGCTATTGTTAGTCATTAAAATGCATATGTGTACTTGGAAATTTATCAATAAACCTAACCTAAGGGATATAAGTAACTTAACTAAGTCCCCCCCCCCCACAGAATTTTAAGTGCGTGCTGATGAATCACAATGATCTGACCTAACGATGGATCATAAATACACAAAGCAAATACTTAGTGCCAGTCACAGCTAGCATATCTTTTGGAGAAAGCTTATATCTTGGATGATTTGACCTCACAGAATAGAAAGCATAATCTAGATCACCTAAATTGATAATGCAAGTCTTACAAATTCAAAATGGAAAAAAGAAAATTAAACTTACGCAGGTATGCATAGACAAAAATAATGCAGATAGGAATTAAGGTTTCATATCCCATATTTCCCATGGCGGTCTGCCAACTAGTTGAACTCTTCTATCCTTTCAGTTCACAATGGCTTCCATGCTCACTTTTATTATTTAAAACCCTAATTGGTATGACATCTTATGTAAGATGATGATGATGACTATCATAGTACATAATCTCCCAAAAAATTTTGCTGGTAAAAAAATCTCCGATGAATCTGCAAATAAAACAAATTTAGTTATTCGGTATTTGTTTCAACTGCATATCACAATAAAACAGGGAAGTTCTCAAATGAAATATATGATCTTTTCGTACAATTTATAATTCTAATTCATATTCTTAAATAAATTTAATAAGATAAAAATAGATCAAAATATTATATAAAAAAATATAAGGCCATAATTGAAATCTTGAATTATGTAATCTGAATTGCATGAAACTGAAATTTACATTAATACCTTCATTCATTTTCTATATACGATATTTTAGCCACTTTCTTTATAAGTTTTTTTTTCCTGTGATTATATTCATTGCAAGTTTCAACTAAGGAGGATAAATTTTTCGATCTACTTAATTCACCCGAAATCATTACGGAAAATTGGTTTTTGTAATCAAATAATAAATACACAAATCATTTTCTAACTATTATTCATTTCTGCAGCGTAAATTTGGAGAAAGCCTAGGATGATTTGACCGGGTAGATTGGTAGATTCGAAAGCTTCGAAAAGGAAGATGAGAAATTCAAGGAAGCAAATATAGACCAAAATTAATAAAGTCAATTGGTTAAAGGAAATCCATAAATATAATTTATAGAGTAGTTCAGAAAATGGATTAGAGGACCCGGGACACCATACTCATGATTAACCGCAATTATACTACTCCTATGGCCCTAACAACTTTCCAACTCTTTTTTTTTTGGAACTTAAACTTTACTCTTATTAAATCATATACATTTTGTAGGAAAATAGCAGTGTATATTTAATGATATGATTTATGAATATAACAAAAGAACCCTCTTTCTCTGCCTTAATATGATCAGAGAAGTAAATTAGAGTAATTTAATACTAACGGTATCTTTTCAAAATCCTTATGATATTTAGAAAACGAAGGTTTTGGTTGAGCTTCAACCTATTTCGAAAATCATCAAATGAAACGTCAAGTTATAAGTTTGAATTTTTTTTTTTAAAGCCAAAAGATGCAAAACAGTCTTTTGCTAATTCGTAGGTGATGGGCAGACATAAAGACTCGTGTAATACACTACTCAGTCAAAACTCAAGTTAGGGTGGTGATTTAGCCTTTTTGTTTGTCTAAATAAGTATTATTATATACTAAAACAAAGAAGTAATTCAATTATATTTAGTCAAAATAAACCGAACGGATATGAACATCATCCAAAAGGGAATAGAGATGTGATTTTAAGAGAAAATATACAAACACCACACTAAATCTTAGGAATTGAGTTGAATAAAAGCCTGCAATTTGCAGAGCTTATAGTACAAGAGGATAATCTTTTGAGCATTATTTCTTGTTCTGAATTTGCTTTCGAGTTAGTACGAATTGAGATGATCTTCAAGACCCTTGCCTTCTCCATAATAAATCTTGCAAGTTCAAACTCATTGTGGAGGCCTCTGTAGTTTCCAAGATGAAACTACTTCAAGTTTGATGAAACACATTGAGGAACATTATTTCCTAACGGTCCCGTAGAATTAAACTGAGCCAAAGGTATATATAATATAGTTAGAAAACTAACTCATAATTTCTCAGGAAAAAAAAAGAAAAGAAAACTAACTAATAATCAAATGGCAATGCAAACACATACATTAAGGTGAAAAATCCAAAAGCTCGGGGCAGTTTCGCAAGCATTCCAATATTGTTGTGCCTGAGACATCTGGACATCTTATTTCCATGTGAGTTAAGTTATAAAATGTTGGAATATCAAGGGGATATGAACAACCAATCTGCAAGGGGGAGAACCAACAAGACAAAAAAATTAATTATCAAATCTAACTAAGAATGAAAAGCAATAATACTAATTTACTTATAGCCAGAAATCTCTGGGTCTAAACTAAGAACTAATGAAAGGGTTTATTTTGTTCCCAAATGTAAGATTTTAACATAGGCTACCTCCCAAATTTATAATTTTTATCCTAACCTCTCCTTATTCATTCTACATAGCGGTTTTTCATGGGGGGTAGTTTTTAATGAACATGATTAAAAGGAATTAACTCAATCAATTTTTTTTTAATATAGCCCCCACAATTTACTCCCTTTGGTCCCAAATACGAATTATTTTTAATTAATTCACGTATAACAATAAAAATGACTAAAATGGGCAAATTTGTCATAAAATTAAAATAATTCCAATATTAATTTTGAATACAAATTTTATTAACTTCTAACTAACAAATGCCTCATTGTATAATAAATACGAAAGAAAGTAATTGTCTAACAGTTATATTCAGGAAGAGAATATAGTATCCTACCGTATCTATCCGCAGTGCTGTAACATTAGACAAAGATCCCAAAGTAAATGGATAGCGATAAACATCAGCTAACACCAAAATTTTAAGCCTTTGCTAACACCAAATTCTTAAGCCTTTCTTCCAAAGTGAATGGATAGCGATAAACATGAGCAGCCACCAAATTTCTAAGGCTGCCTTCCTTTATGGGCACAATCGAACGCCCATCAATATGAATTGCGCTGCAATATTTTAATGACAACCCTTGAAGCAAAAGGCAGCCACAAAGAAGATTGTAAACGCCTTGGATATTTGGAAATATAACACTGCTCAAATGCATGACTTCAAGTGAAGGCAAATGAATAAAAGAAGGAGTCGTCTCTTTTAACACCACGTAGCTTCAAAATTCTATGCTATTGCAGTCGAAAATGCAAGAGGGAATTTCAATGTTGAACTTGTTAAGAGTTATCATAAATCTCAACATGTTCAACTCTGGAATTCACTGACGTGTTAATCTAAGTGTTAATCTTCATAGGTGGCACGTTCCCACGTGCAGATTGAGAATGAGGTGAAACTTTCTTGGGTTTCTGAATGATCTCTCATGCTCATCACTGTATCTACGTACTGAAGGAAAGGGTGAATATTATGAAAGTTGAAGTCGTCAAAGTCCAGATGGGAAGTGACAAGCGGAGATGCCTTCACCTCTTGGACAAGGCATGTGGTAATGGCTTGTTAGTTGGAAGAAAGAGAGAATATGTCAACACCTGGGTCAGGTAAGTCCATAATTTGAGCAGTTGCCATTG